TGAATGTGTGCGATTACCTTCCAAAATGTTGCGTTAATTTCAGATGCAGGGATATGTACCACATCTGGTGGCTTCAAATCACCATTTGGCTTTATGCGATTAAAACATCTGTAGACGTACGCATTACTTCCATGTAGGACGAACATCGCTCGGTTGGTGATGTGAAAACGAAGCGTGGAAACTGAAGTGTGGTTATGTTTCGAAGATCTTCCAGCACTTCTATCCATTTGTTACGAAAGACATCGTCGACTGGCGTGTCCCAATCTAGACCCTTTAAGGCCAGATCCTGTATAAAGATTTTACAGCGGATAAGTATTGGGCTGATAAGTCCCAGCAAGTCAAATATGCGCGCTACCACTGACAAAACGGATCGTCTTGTTACCTGGTCAGGTGGTTCAAATTCGTTGCGAAATACAAACTTGTCTATATTTGGCTGCCATGAGGTTGCAGCAATGTCACTAGAGTTGCTGCTGAACTTTGTTAACTGCAAGCCTGCTTTCAAAAGTAGCACTACAACATCATCCTTTTTGTGTTGAATGTCTGTTATGCTGTCTGCTCCTGTGAGTAAGTCGTCTACATACAGATCATTGCGCAGGACGGCAGCTCCTACAGAAAATTCCGATTCGTACAGTTCGGCTATGTGATGAAGTCCTCGAACAGCAAGAAATGGCGCAGCTGACATCCCATATGAAACAGTGTGTATCTGATATGCTTTCACATCGTCGCGTAGATCAGGTCTCCATAATATAATTTGAAAGCACCTGTCTCTTTCGTCGATAACAAATTGCCTATACATTTTCGCACTGTCTCCAGTGAGGGAAAATCTATATAAACGAAATGAAAGAACCGCTGTAATGAGGTCTTGCTGATTCGGTAGGCCAATCATTTGTAGATCGTTTAATAAAAGGCCAGAAGTCGTTTTGGCTGATACGACAAAGACAACTCGCAGCTTTGTCGTAAGGCTCTGAGGGCGCAGTAAGCAATGGAGCGGTATGTAGAAGTGTGGTTGTGTGTGGTCCACGTTGGACGCAAGGGACATATACCCGAGATTTATATACTCGTCTATAAATCCAGCATATTCCTTCTTCAGCATCGGGTTGCTTTCAAGTCCGCGATCGAGCAGCTTGAACCTATGTAGTGCGTTTTTGTAAGATTCGCCAAGCTCGGATGGTTTTAAACGGCAAATAGAACCATGATAAGCGAAAGTTGGCAAAAAGTTTCCTCCAATTTGCAAATGCCAAGGCTGTCACCGATCAGTTAAGTTCATGAGCGTAACAAATCAACAGGGTTGCAACAAAGCTAAACAAAAGTTGTGTTCTAATTGGGGTGTCTATTTATTGAAAATGTATTTATATCCCAAACATATTTTCAGAAATTTTTCGATTTTATGCCACTGTGGGACCATACTGCCCTGTACCCAAAGGGTGAAAGGCTATACTAGTTTTGTGCGACAGAAGGAGGCGTGGCAGACTCCACAAGGTATATATATTCTTGATCAGGATGACAAGGCGAGCCGATATAGCCATGTCCGTCTGTGCTTCCGTCTGTAAGAAACGCAAGGATCTCAACAACTATAAGGGCTAGAATAACCAAACTTAATATCTAGACTCTCCCTAGTCCGAGAAAGGACGAGTTTGTGTGTGATTTTTTCTGTGTTTTTCGGTGTTTTATTGATGCCAAATTATACTACATTTTTCAAGTACACAGGATCACAGGCAAGCATAAATTTATAATTTTCGATTCTTACAAAATATGGGCTTTTAAAGGGCATGCGGCAACGTAGAGGGACGAAGCTGAATACAAAAAAAAATTTAACGAAAGTGACAAAGGTGCAGGCGAACGAACACAAAGATAAAACGCCAGCTGTTAGCTTTAAACATTTTGCTACTTTTTTGTTTTGTTATTTTCATTCATTTTGCTGTAAATATTTATTTTCCTGGGCCCCAGAGCTGCAAAATAGTCGATGTGACTGACGATCATTTTCGATTATTGTTTGCAATTTTCCTAGAAATAAAATCGAATAATCGTAAGGCTAAAAAAAATAATTTTTATTGTCGTTTTCGATAAGATTAGACATTATCAGCGACAATTTCAAGTAATAGTTTGTAAATTTAGGCATGCTTTTGACTTTATACGACATTATACAAACATGTTTGTTTAACATCGATTAAATCGATTTCGAACAAAAAAGTTACACTTCAGTCGTGTTTCTCCCTGGCACACACTTTTTTTGTGGAGATTACATGGTATTTTGCTGTCGGGCTTGCTCGACTGTACTGTTCAATTTTGTGCAGTAAAATGGGTGTTGTTGGATAAAATCGAATTGCATTGTATTAGGGAATACATATGTATGTACGCAGTATGTTTATCAACTTAAACCTAACTATAGAAGAAAACCATGTTACTCAAATTTGGCAATTCTATCCGGATTGTTCTTATATGTCCTTATTTCATTGCATTAGCTCAAATGTAAAGGGAGTCATAGCCATTACTGTTTTCTCTGCAGCAGCTTTTGTTTTTGATGCTTTGGCTCAAGTCCTCAGTGCATACACGCAGACAGCCATAGACACAATGGACACATACTCAATGCCAATGCACTACAAGTATAATGAAACAGTACATAAATAAATGTAATTAATTAATTAATTTGGATACTTGAATCCAAATTTTTATAATGATTTTTTAATCCCAATAGAAAAGTAAGGCATTGGATGGGTAATTAATTAATTCGAAATTTCGGGTCATGTATCCTAATGTAGGTGCGCACTAAGAAGGGATTTTGGATAATTCGAGCTCCAAAGGGGGGATAATGAGCTCCAAAGATTGTTTGAACAATCTTCAGTTTTTCACAGTTTTTTTTTTTAAAGAATATATACAAAACAAGTAAAAAAGCTAAAGTCGGGTGTTCTGACTTTTAAATACTCTGTACATATGTTTAGAATAATTATAAAAAATAAAAAAATTAAGAAAATTAAAAAACAGATTTTGATCGATTTTACCTCTCCCGGTATTCGAACTCACGTAAAGGGTGTATAATTGCACATATACAAAGCAATTGCGGCTATGTGAATGTATGTACATATGTTTATGCCCGTCTATTCGTGTCCGTGTAAACATTTTTGCAGTCAACCAAAGCCCCACCATCAACAATAGCTGCGGGCAGCGCTTGGCCAGCAAATATATTTATGGCTATAACTTCTTGTTAAATCAGTCTATCATAGTGAAACATGGCATACGGACACATAATCACTAATTGGGGGTATTCGCAAAATTTGAGTCCGAAATTCCAGGAATTACGTGAGTTGCGATTTGCTTGGAAGAGGGGGGAGGGAGGTCAATTCCAAAATACAAATCTGCGTGTTCACATAAGTCACATTGGGCTAAAATTTGGTGTCCCTAGGTTTTATAGTCTCCGAGATATAAGCGATTATACGAATGGAAAATCTTCAAAACCTCCATAGGGGGGAAGTGGAGGGGAACATCAAAAAAGTAAAACAAACTTGCACAGCGTACACACATAACGCATCTTTGTGAAAAGTTTGTCTCTACCTCTTATAGTCTCTGAGATCCAGGTGTTCATGCGAACGGACAGACGGACAGACAGACAGACAGGGCTAGATCGACTCGTCTTGTCAGGCTGATCAAGAATATATATACTTTATGGGGTCTGACACGCCTAATATATTCCTGTACTTTTTTGTACAGAGTATAAAAAGCAAATCGAAATTATTTTCCAAGGAGCTATCCTCCACTACATGAGCGAATCAACTCCACTCCGGTGTTTTCGCACATTGCAGCACCCAGTCATCTACGAACGCTAGAGGTAGTAAACGACGGTATCATCATAATAAATGAGGGAACTGCTGAAATAAAAATTGACAACGGTACAGGGAAACGTATCCATGGTACGTTCCTGCTGACATTCGATGAAGAAGTCTGGATAAACATGTCTCTGTTGAGAAACATGAAGAATATCGCCCGAAGACACCCGGCTGCAGCAACATCGGCACTACTGAATATCACCGGTTACTACGAAATTTTGAGCCTGCCATATCTGCAAAGGTTAAACATTGAAAATCTGCGGTACATTGGCGACATAGAGGGAAAGTTGGCAACAAGGCCGGGGATGTTCAGCGCATTCATTCTTTTCATCATGGCTATAGGATTCCTTCTTTTGAAGCTGTACCAGAAACGCAGAAGGGCTAGTAGCCAATCTTCCCTACAGATTCTTATCGAGAATCTGAGGTAAACCGAGGACAGCCTTCAACTTAGCGAGGGAGGAGTTAACACATCCGGCCGGTCACAAGTCAGTGACCGCTCGATCATGCAGAATAGATACGAGTTTTGGCATGGTCATCAATTTAAGCGTCTGAGCAACAACAGAGCATTCACCGTCCACTTGCACTTGCAGAAAGTGCCATATCAGCAAATATGGGCCACAGGGCTAGCTTACATTTTAAGAATCTTTCTGTACTTAGAGTCAGTCAGATTTTGGAAATAAACCGCGTCGGTCATCGCCACGCCAAACTTTACTTAAAAGTCTACTCATTTGTGAGACAACAGCGAATCGGTGTGAAACCTACCTAAAATGTGCTACACCGTGCACCTCATCATTCGCCTAACAGCGAACTTGCTTAATTTGTATACAAAGACAAAATGTTAAATATTTTTGATGCAGATTGTTGAGAAATTCAATAATGCTTGTTGTTATGTGAAAAAATCTATTTATTGGTCTTCGAAATTTGGGGGAAAGACATTTCTAAGTCAAACAAAGCTCGATATAAATACTACACATATGTATGTACATATGTATTAACAAACCCTAATTTTCATTTATTCAGTCAATTCAACTGTTTCCATCGTTCCATTTTGACGTTCCTATTTTGGCGTACATTTGAAATGTTAATTTATGCCTGATAGCATTCCAATTCACGTGAGAAAGTCACAAAATCTCAATATTGATACAATCTGTTCATCTCTAATATACAAATAAAAATACATACATACATATGTATATTTATTAGCACGTTTTTAAACTTTGTTTTACCTATCAATCATGGGACGTCGGAAAAAGAGTCGTTTCTTTTCTAATGCTAAGGGATTTGCCAAGCAGGGTATCTACGGACGTGGCACACACATTAATGACGAAACATTCAGCTATTTTATTAACATTTTAGATGCCATAAAAGCTGGCTTAGATGATCCTAGTAAGTTAACAATACATTCATATGCCGCCAAAGAATGAAGCTTATTCTAATTTAGTGTGTTTGTATTTAAAACCGAAGGAAGCTTGGCAGACCCCACAAGCTTTGTACTCGTATGTACTATATTCTTTATCCTTATAAACGGATGAGTCAATGCAGACATCTGTATACGCAAGTATCCTGTTTTCCGATGCACTCCCTCGAAATTATTGTTCTATCATAATGCGTTTTTTTTTTTTTTGTCAAAATGATAAGCCAATCATTGCATGCAATACCAATAAAGCAGCGATAGGCATAAACTTTTAATCGACACACGCACTACGTGTATTTTGTTTTTGCATCAAACTTAAGAGAACCTAGATATCAAGTATGGTTAGCCTAACTCTTATACTTTCTAAGACCCTTGCGTACATACAGACGGACGGACATGGCTATATCGACTCGTCATACTAATCAAAAATATGTACATACATATGTATGTATGCATGTACGTAAACATTGTGGGGTCTACACCTTCTGTCTGTTACTTTTGCACAAAACTAGAATTCCCTTTTATAAAGATCGGTAACCCGAAAATTTTTTATACAGTCTGTCAACTAATTGTTTGCAAAATGAAATTTGTCACCAAATTTCAACTTTAACATTAAATTTATAAATAGTGGCATTATTTGGGAATATTTTGCTTATCAATTATTATTAAGATATGTATTAGCTATGGGTATGTCAAAAAAAAGAGACGAATTTCCATGTAAAACGTAAAAGAAACGAAGAAAACAAAACAACGACATTTACGACACTGTCAATTAATTGTTTGCAAAATGCAAACACTTGTTGAAAGAAGACCATAGAAAAAGTAACAGGACGGCCAAAACGAAAAGGACCGATCGCATTTTTTTTACTAGTATTCCTTCCACTAATTCCTTGTAAAATTTGCTTCAGTTTGGTAACGTATCTGTCACTTTGACCATTTTTGCAAACGCACTTATGATAATTTGATACAGCTAGTGTTTTTCCATTATAGCAACGGGAAAACAGCCAAACAGTTGGCCAAAACATATCGAATTAAACTTAGAACAGTCTATAATATCATTAACCGCGCCGAAAAAGAGAATTAAACAGCTATCAAGGCAGATTTCCATAGCTTTCTCGGCAGGATTGCTCACAAATTTTAAAAAGCATTGAAAATAAACCGCAAACGAGCCTCAGGGAGTTGGCCAATAATATTTACAATGACTGCAAGAAGTCCGTGTGCCATAAAACCATCAGAAAAGTACTCAATCGCCACAAGTACTCATCACATGTAGCAAGGAAGAAGCAATTCCTGTCTGCTGCGAACATTGAAAAGCGTTTGAATTTAGCAATATTTAATGCGAACCAATCTCAGGAGTATTGGAATGACGTCATTTTTTGTGACAAGACCAAGATCATGTTGTATTATCATGATGGACCCAGCAAAGTTTAGCAGAAACCAAATACAGCCCTCCAGACCAAAAACATAGTGCCTACAGCAAAATTCGGCAAACTGTATTTATGGTTTGGGGCTGTATTTCATCCAAAGGCATTGGAGAGCTGCGCATATTTGATGGTTTTATGGCACACGGACTTCTTGCAGTCATTGTAAATATTATTGGCCAACTCCCTGAGGCTCGTTTGCGGTTTATTTTCAATGCTTTTTAAAATTTGTGAGCAATCCTGCCGAGAAAGCTATGGAAATCTGCCTTGATAGCTGTTTAATTCTCTTTTTCGGCGCGGTTAATGATATTATAGACTGTTCTAAGTTTAATTCGATATGTTTTGGCCAACTGTTTGGCTGTTTTCCCGTTGCTATAATGGAAAAACACTAGCTGTATCAAATTATCATAAGTGCGTTTGCAAAAATGGTCAAAGTGACAGATACGTTACCAAACTGAAGCAAATTTTACAAGGAATTAGTGGAAGGAATACTAGTAAAAAAAATGCGATCGGTCCTTTTCGTTTTGGCCGTCCTGTTACTTTTTCTATGGTCTTCTTTCAACCAGTGTTTGCATTTTGCAAACAATTAATTGACAGTGTCGTAAATGTCGTTGTTTTGTTTTCTTCGTTTCTTTTACGTTTTACATGGAAATTCGTCTCTTTTTTTTGACATACCCATAGCTAATACATATCTTAATAATAATTGATAAGCAAAATATTCCCAAATAATGCCATTATTTATAAATTTAATGTTAAAGTTGAAATTTGGTGACAAATTTCATTTTGCAAACAATTAGTTGACAGACTGTATGTGCACATTATTCCGTCCTTTGCTTATTACTTTTGTTATTTATATACTATTTGTCGAAATATCAATTGACTTTCTCTTCCATTTAAATAGTAAATATGGCCAACAATGTCTTCGAGCAAACTGCAGATCAGGAACTGTTCTTAGCATCAAATCAAATTGTATCTAAAGCTTTGGAATCGCTAATAGGATATGTAGATGATACACACTTGGAACGCTATTTCACTAAATTTGGTGACAGTTTGCGTCCCATGTGTTCCGACCCCTTTGCGTCACATGTGCTGCAGAAAATGATTGAAATTGCGTTTCTACGTGGATGTGGAAAAGAAACCGACACCGATGTTGGTGCATCACTTAAGAGTGCAAAACGTACCGCGACAGAAATCACACAAAACGAGAAAGATTTCAATTTAAAAACAGAGTTTTCTTCGGCGCATCGTGAGCAGTGCCTTAATTTTGTGGTACGCATAGGAAAGTTTGTGTTAAACAATATGGAAGATTTCGTCTGGGATCCATGTGCAAATCACATTATTCGCACAACATTACTTTGTTTGGTGGGAATTTATGTGCCCAAAGTTGCTTTCGCAAAGGGTGGGTCTGACTTGACGAAAAATAGTACCTGTTTTGCGGTACCTACAGATTGGTATAATTTGATGAAGGAATTTGCCCAACGCTTGCAAATGTGGCCGCAATACAAAGAATTTCCTTACCAAGAGCATTCATCTGCTTTACTGAGCGTTATATTTATAGCGCTTAGAAAGGTGGACAAGAGTATGCTAAAGCATTTGGGGAAAAAAATATTAAGAGAGGCTTTTCAAGAGGAAGTTTCCAATAAAAACACAAATGACAATTATAACGACGAGCAGAATGAACTTGTCGAATCAAATTCTGCAACCCATCACACACTGCCCAAAGTTTACCATCATCAAAGTGCTATTATTTTGCTGGAAAATATGATATGTGTTGCTGGTACTAAGCTCTTAACAGAGGTTTATACTTTACTCTTTAAAGGCCGTATCGCTTACCTTTCTAAACAGCCAAATACGAACTTTACTGTACAGAAATTGCTACAAAACATAAGCGTACTATCAGAATTTGAGTGTGTATTCAACGAATTGCAACCACACATTGAGACGTTACTTAAAATCGGCCATACGGGGGTCGTTTCGGATGTATGTTCCGCATGTTTGCGTCTGAGTTGCAAGCAGGCGCAAATGGTCACTGCACTACAAACAGCTTTGCATGTTACCAACAACAAGGATAAAGGCCAACAATTTTTCATTTGTCTTATCAAGTTAAAGCCGTCGGAAGTACTGTCAAACGATCAATCGAACTTTATTCATTTGCATGGCTCACTGATTGTACAACACGTCTTGCAGTTCAATAAGCCCATAAGTTTGGTTAATTGTATACTGAATCTGCCTGCAACACAACTGGTGAAAGTTTTTAACACTCCCAATGGCTCACATATTGTCGACGCATTTATAAAAAGCAAATACGTTGGTGAAAAATCGCGAGAGAAACTAATTCGAGTTTTGATTGGCTTTTACGTCGATTTTGCAATAACACGTCATGGTTCGCGTGTATTTGAGCAGTGTTTCAATGCTGCACAAGACGAACTGAAGGTGCGAATCATCAAGGAACTAGCTGATAAGGCAAACATGCTAAAAGGTTCACCTTATGGTCGCATAATCTACTCAAAATACGGCTTGGATACCTATAAACTATCTCCCAGTAGGTGGCAATCCAGTTTCTGCAACATAAATGACCCCCGTGCAAAATCACATATTAATTAATAATATATTTTTAAAATATAATGCAAAATTTCTTTCATTCATCAAAAATGTTTTGTGCGACTCTAGCTTTTTCACCTGCATAGACACGATTCTGATATAAATTTATTCTGTTAAACAATAAACATATGTCTCCACTTCTGTATGTATTGAATAATTTCTTTTTAATTTAATTAAATGGTTGAAAACAATTTAAACTAAATTTTTAAAAAAAATTAATTTTAGCGTAGCGTTCTCTCTTCCTTAGATCTTAGTAATGATAGTTGTATAACGGCTTTATTAAATCGGCGGACTCCAGCAAGCAAAAAGATAAACAGGCAACACCAATACTACCAGGCGTAATTCTCCTCAATGATTCTGTCGGCGTAATCGACCACGAAGCCCTAACATTGAATGAAAACTATGTAATGCGTTAGCACAAATCCACACTTCGCATTAGATAATCTTTCTTTGTGGCCAGAAGGATTACTAACGCCGAGTCACTACTTCCTTTGTTTCACATCATTTCAGAAAAAATGTGGAAGAAGTATTGTCTTTGGAGATGATGAAAAAACTCAACCTCTACAACACACGGCGCATAAACCGGATCACTGATGAGAATTCGGTACTGACATCGGTGAACTTTTCCTTGTCTTTTCCGTTATTGGCTGTATTAAATTTAAATTAATTTAAAAATTTAATTAATTTAATTTAATTAAATATAAAATATTCAACACATGCATACATACTACGTAAGTGTTTATTTACAATTTCAATAGCAAATATTTACATCAGAATCTATGCGTGTTTGTGTACATGTAAATTTGTGTGCATTACATAATTATGTAAAAGCAGCAACAACAACAGCTGCGGGCACAAATCGTCTTTATGGCTATAGCTTTTTTCATAATTGATGAAGCTTGGCATACAAACACACAATCACTTACTGGGATGTGACTACCAAATTGAATTCGAATTCCGTTATTCAGTTATGGAAAATGACTAATACCGGAGTGGGGGGTGATTTGGAAAAAATGAACAAACTTTTCCATTCCCGGCTTACCTGCATACTAAGTTTGGTTATTCTAGCTCTTATACTTTCCGAGATTCTTGCGTTCGTACGGATACACATGGCTCTATCGACTCGTGTTGTCATCCAGCAGACCAATTGCTAGACACCAATCAATCAATTAGCGTCAGCACTTTGGCAATAGCCAATTAAAAAAAATTCACAGAATAGGCTTTACGCTTAATGACTCTTAGAATTCTTCAATTATGCTGTTGGCAGACAGCTGCAGTGCGCGTCCATTTGACTCTTAAAACTATGCGTTAACTTCAATTGTCTTTCTCTTAAATTCATATGAGCGTTCATAGAACTACACCCATTCTGGCGCTGCTGCAGCCGCAGCAGGTTGTATTTGGACCAATCGGCCCAAGCCCGCTACTTTATGCCGTAGATCAGGTCGCGAGTTCATGATCGCGCCCAATTCCACCACGGTGACCAGCTTGTTCTGCCACAGTGTTGCGCCTCCGATGGCCTTTAGCAGCAATGCCTTGGCGGACTTTACGGCCCACTTACGGACTTTTCCCACAGGCCGCCTAAATGCGGCGCTCGGGGTGGGGTTTGAAGATTGTTTTCTTGGTAGCAGCAAATATTGCAGTATCATCGGTGTTGATACTGAAGCTGGTGTGGATCTTTTCTAAAATGCGGGCATCGCCCACGAAATTGGTGGCATTGTCTAAGCAGATTCGCATCACAGGTCTACTGCGGCCGGCAAACCTAGACAAACATATTATAAACGATTTAGTTGTCAGGTCTGTTACAACATCAATATGCACAGCTTTGGAGGTAATCATACATCTTGACCAGGGCTCTGCCACGATTTCTCATCAAGACAGGTATAGGATTAAAATATACACCTTGCCGAATGGATCGATCGGGCTGGCAGCTCCAGGGGACACTAAGCATCAAATGCAGTTGACCTAGTACCAATTGAATGTATCATGGCAGGCATACATTCCCCCTTGGCCTATAGGCCGAGGTGTATCTAGCACCTCTGCTGCTCTATGTGTCTGGCGCTGGGTTGTGCAGTGCTACTCCACTCCGAGCACAGGCAGAAGACAAGTTTTGGAAGCTTCGCAACCGTGGCACAAAAATCACAAGTCTTGGTGGGCACACCCATTTGGCCCCGATAGGCCAGACACGCTCCATACGCCAAGTCCAAACTTCAAGACCCTGAAGGTCTCGCAGCTCTCCATACAGCGGGCATACACGTGTGGCTAGCTCTCGAGATACGCGCTTTTCCAAAGCTTTTCCGGATGAAAACCGATGCCTGCGCCTTTGATGAAATGCCCGTGATCATCACCATCAGGCCATCGGAATTGCTATTCTCGAAGCAAGCATTCGTGGAGCAGCGCCTTCATTTGCCTTCAATCGGCACCTCTAAAAACTCGACCGTATTGCTAATCGCGTTCCTTCAGCGGGTAGTTACATATATTTAAACCCCGTTCCGATCTTTTTAGCATTAAAAAAGTTACCAGAATCATATTTTTCGAATTGACCCACAGAGCCTTTTCTGTAAGTATTTGATACCAAAAATATTAACGGGTCCTGGCTAGCTCAACGAGCTAACTAAGATCAAGTGGATCGTAAAAGCGAGTTATTATCGAAGAAACGAGCTCTTATTATAATTTTACGCACTCCTCCAACTGAAATGCCACCGGTGATTAGGTCGTCCACATATAAATGCGCTGCAAAGTATGTGAGTCATCTGGATACGAAAGCTGTTCATGGGAAGTTGTTACTTTCGACGAACATATTAAAATTACGCAGGCATTTAGCTATCTGATTTAGTTCCGCAAACGCATCGATACATTTTTCAAATGTCAGCATTAACTGGTAGTGGAAGAAAGAAAATCTTAGCAGTGTGTTGAACAGGTTTGCTTATTACAAAATATTCAGATGATGTGGTGAATCTGCAGCATTAAGCAAAACGTGAAGTGACTATGTTTGACTGCGACCCGGAGTCGAACAGTGCACGACATGGTACGAGTGCATCCGAATGATTCTTAAATACAATGATGGCTGTACCTTAGAACACATGTCCGCCCGTCCGTTTGGATGAACGCAAGGAACTCAAAAACTATAAAAGCTGAAATAACCAAAATTGGTATCCAGATCCGAGATAGGACGAGTTTATTTTATTTTTTGAATTTTTTCTCCTCGTTTATGTTAAAAAATTCCGTGAAAACTGTCCATATTTCATATTTGTTTAAATTTCAGTCAAATCGATCAATTCTAAGAAAAGTTATTAGTGAAACGATATCACTCCGCTATTACGCCCACAAACTGCAGGCATCAAGTTGGATCATCGTTTTGTTTCCGTAGGGGGGAATATGTAACTCAGTGCTGGAAGTTTGGCTGGCTATTGCCCGAATATAGCATTCTCTATTGTTTTCTTTGTTGCATAATTAGCAGTTCCAGTATACAGTAGTATCCGACGTGAGCCCTTAAAGCATGGCTGCAGGTATTGCTGGGCAACTGAGAATTGCGTAGACGGATTGAAGATCGAATTCGAGCTTGCAGTCTTTTTTCTAACGCGCTGAAATACTCTCGTTTGATCCGGATCCGACATCAAAACGTACATAAGGTAGCCGAATTAAAACGGAAGGCGAGAGAGCTGGAAGAGTTGGGCATAGTTCCGGTCTATGTCGACAAGGCGAGGACACAACACCCAGCGTTCATCGCCCCCTAGGATGGAATGAATCGGCATTCAAGGCAAGCGGGCGTGGAGCCCATGTTTGGCGGTGAGTCAATCTCCAGACAAACTTTTGTTTCTTCGTTGGCGACGCAGCCACGAGCAACATAAGAAGGTCCTGAGTCGCAAAACTAGCTGCAGAACGCACGCTAGCGATGATGTTAAGGATGAACTGCACTGGTCTCGTTGCATTGGTGGATACCGACGACACGACGCTTGAGAGCGCCAGGTGGGGAATATGTGGGAATCGTGGATGTGCCAACTTGTAAAATTTTGTGTCTCTAGCTCTTGTAGTCTCCAGGGGTTTATACGGACAGACAGACTAGCAGATAGACAGACTGGACTAGATCGACTCGTCTCGTCATGCTGATCAAGAATATATATTCTTTGTGGGGTCTGCCACGCCTCCTTCTGTGTGTTACATACATTCGTACAAAACTACAAGTAGTATAGGGTATAATAGTAGGTATACTAGTCACCCTTTGGGCACAGGGTATAAAACCACCACAAATATCCGCGATGGGTTTTTTTTATTGAAAACCATTTAAGCTATATTCTTTACCGTTTAGTGGGTGGAACGGAGGAATCAAATTAGTGTTAATATTTGATACATGTATGTACATACATACATATATATAATTTTGTTGTTGCTGGTACATACACGCAGAGACACGATTTTGATGTAATGTATGCTGTTCAAACTGAACATAAAAATATGTCTCTATTTATATATTGAATATTTTTTATTTTGTTTAATTAAATAATTTTATTTATTTTTTTTTTTTAAAAGAAATTTGGAAAATTTATTTTTTTTCTTTTTTTTTTTGGGAGGTACAGGGTATTTAAGAGTTGAGCTTTAGCATTCTTGTTTTTATAGATTTTTTGTAAAATGCGTCCTCTACTGTTAATATTGATTTCTTATATGACATACTGTTTTAGTAGTATCTTATAGTATTTCAGTATTCTCAAAATAATATTGAGAAATCATCGAAGTAATCATCGAGTTTTGTGCCACCCCTAACAGTCGTGTTAGTGCTGGAAAAACATAGCTGTTTGTCCACATCGATGTTTCGATGTTTTTGTATTTATCGATATGTAGAACTTCAACTAATGGCGAATTTGGAAAAAGTCTATATTAATGCTTATAAATAGTGTATTTTATGTTAATTTTACAATTTAACAATTTTAGTATCTTCCTTATCCTTCCTCAGGCTCTCTGTTTTTTCCAACCGAGTACCACTTTTGCAATCTTCTTACAATAACATAATAATATACATAGTACATACATATATGTACATATCAGAGACCTGCAGCCGCAGCAATAAGTACACCGCATACGTACTTATAATATTTAATTCACGATCATGCAAAACACAGCATAAAACATGATGCGGTGCGGATTATACTCATGGCCTTCTTATACTTAGATCAATGCAATCACAACAAGACCTTTCGCTGTCCTCTCCACTCACTTTTGTACTTATGTGGTGGGTGAACGCAAAGAAACTACTGAGAGTAAAAACCTCCTCCAAATTTTAGCGATTTTTTTGCTCAGTAGTTTTGAGTGTTCGGTCTGCACGATCAATTCAGCTGCGTTGCCTGCAGTACTTGTACTTACATAAGTATGATTTGCGGTGTTGACCTCGCATATTCAGTGCATGTATGTATGTATGTTTGTACATATGTATGTTCTAATATGTATGTACATATGTACTAATATGTATGTACATATGTACTAATATGTAAGTATATATGTATGTACTAAAATTTTCAATTGTCTGTACATATTGCTAAAACATAAACAAAGCAAAGTAAAATAAGATTTTCACACAATTAAAAGGAATTATTTACTTCGTAATTTGCCGTACATAATGAGCAAAAATAAGAAAAACTCCGTTATACACATGCGTTGTACTTGATCTTTGCTTCGTTTCGGTTTTCCTATGCGGTGTTTGCAATACTTGGTCTTTGCTTTACTAATCATCACATTGATTTTGTCAACTCTTCTCTCATCGTTTCTTGCAATATATTGTGCGCGTATGAGTATAAGTACGATTGCAGAAAACAACAACAAGAATGTGCGATGAAAAAGTAAAGCATACACCGCATGCACCCATGATAGAGTATGAAAGTGATCCAGTGATAGCAGTACAAAAATGCCTTTTAAGTCAGTGACTGAATAGACAAAAAAGTATGCAGTGGCGATCACACCGCACCGCTTTTTCAGTAAGTATACTTAGAGTCACAAAACTAGGCACTCATGCATTTCTCTAGTATAGTATAGTTTTAAAAAATATCGAACCTCGGAAAAAACATCGATGTTCCGTCCAGCACTAAAAGATGGAGTAAACAAAATGGACAATTTAATAACAATACCCGATTCGGACGAGGAAACAAATATATCACTAGAATTCCAAGTATCAACAAAAAGCGGAGCTACGGACTACCCACAGGATAAACAGACAGAAAGAAAATCTATAAACAGGAGATCGTCAATTTCACTGTCAACTAATTTATGCAGCTCTCCGACTCCCTATCCTACTTCGCCCCCGAAAACGCCTGAAACCCTTTTTGCTAAACACTGCCGTCGGTCACGTAAATCTAAACTTGAAACTCTTCGCATAAGTCCCACAGACATCCAATTTGAAACTATAATTGCGTTGGACGACGATGATTCAAAGGAATTGCACGGAAGAATCAATCAAGCGGGGCCATATATACCGTTAGTAGAAATTGTGGAAGTGGGCATCAGGAAAATGTTAAATACTGAAGATATGCAGTTATCCATTAGTAGCATTGCGGAGGAACGCGTGCGCTGCAACTTTCTACTCGCTACTTATCATCTTCCGGATATGAATTTTGTGTTAAATACTCATATAGATATTTTGAAATACGAATTTCGGGATCGCTTAAGACAACGCAGGGAACGTTTTGCTGCATCAACTTGCGAAGTAACAAAGCCAATCAACTAGCAGTCAACATAAGAATACCCAAATGCATGGTTGCTAAATAAACCAAATTTATTTTAAACGAGAGGAGAATATAGTAATTATAAAAAAACAAGATAGAACGCTACAGTCGAGCAAGCCCCATAGTAAAATAGCCTGTACTCTCCACAAAAAAAGAAAAATAAAAAAATTAAAAAATTAAAAAAAAAATTAAATTATTAAAAAAAATGAATGAATTAATTAATTAATTAAATTAAATTAGAATACATGTTTATGTTCAGTTTAAACAGCATACATTTACATCACGTACCTATGCGTGTTTATATGCGTGTATGTATGCAGCACAAAGTTGAACCAAAGCAGCAACAACAACAACAGCTGCGGGCAGCGCTGCCGACAGAGCTGCAGGCAGCGCATGAGCAGCGATTTTACTTATGGCTATAACTTTCTTCAGAATTGACCTATCATGATGAAATTTGGCACACGGACACATTAGTACCAACTGGATGTACCTACCAAAATTTCAAAATTCCGAGAATTACGGAAGTTATAAGAAAAAACATGAATTGCGGGGGAGTGGGGGGGTGCATCGAAAAAAAACTCAAAATCGTACTTTCTCGGTCTGAGAAGAATATGGAAACCAAGTTTGGTTATTCTAGCTCTTATACTTTCTGAGATCCTTGCGTTCATACGGACAGACGGACGGACGGACAAGGCTATATCCACTCGGCTTCTCATCCTGATCAAGAATATATATACTTTGTGGGGTCTGCCACGCCTCCTTCTGTGTGTTACATACATGCGCACAAAACTAGTATAGCCTTTCACCCTTTGGGTACAGGCTATAAAAATGTAAATACATTTTTCATCGATTTTCCCGAGTAAGGGTATATAAATACATTTACAAAGGGATTGTCTCTATGTGTGTGTCTGTGCAAATTAGCAACAAACACTACTGGCATAAAATACATTTCCTTTAAAATCGGCCTATCATAATGAAACTTGGCATATGGACTCATAATCACTAACTAGTAAAACCAATTCAAATATATTACCTTAAATGATTAACCATTCAATTCTAAATCTATTAACTTAAATGACTAACAATTCAATTCTAACAATCCATCAAATAAATTAAGTATAAAATAAACAAGTAAAAAAACTAAAGGCGGGTGTCCCGACTTTGAAATACTCTGTACATATGTTTACAACAACTATAGAAAATAAAAAAAATTAAGAAAATAACAAAATTTGATCGATTTTACCTCTCTTGGTATTCGAACTCACGTAAAGGGTTTATAATTGCACATTTACATAGCAATTGCGTCTGTGTGAGTGTATGTATGCTTATGCGCATCTATTCGTGTCTGTGTAAGCATTTTCGCAGTCAACCAAACAGCAACATCAACAACAGCCGCGGGAAGCGCTTGAGCAGTGCTGCAGCAGCAAATATATTTATGGCTATAACTTCTTGTTAAATCGGTCTATCATAGTGAAACTTGGCATACGGACACATAATGACCAACTGGGGGTAATTCCAAAATTTTACTACGAAATTCCAAGAATTACGGGAGTTAGAGAAAATTGCGATTTGTGGTGGAGAGGGTGGAGGGAGGGAAATTCCGAAATATACATTTTCTGCGTATTCACATAAGGCATCTGGGACTAAAATTTGGTGTTCCTAGGTCTTATAGTCTCCGAGATATAGGCGATTATACGAATGGAAAATCGGGGAAAATCAAAAAAATAAAACAAACTCGTATAGAATACACACATAAGGGTTCTTTGTGCAGAATTTGGTGTCTCTATCTTTTATAGTCTCTGAGATCCAGGTGTTCATACGGACGGACAGACAGGGCTAGATCGTCTCGTCATGCTGATCAAGAATATATATACTTTGTGGGGTCTGCCACGCCTCCTTCTGCCTGTTACATTTTTCAGCTCCTGCAAACCTAATATACTTCTGTACATTTCATGTACAGAGTATAAAAATATAATACATATGAAATAACAACTACCATTTTCATAAAGTGCCCACACCTTTGTATAGTACTAGCATGAGCATGAGCTATTTTCATAATCACATAATTCGACCTAGGTTGGGTTATTCCTCGGTTGAAACTTTTGTATTATGTTTAAGCGGATTTCCAATAAAGAGCCAAATTTGCTTCTACTCATCGTCATTCTTTTTTACCCTGTACCCAAGGGGTGAAAAGGTATACTAGTTTGTGCTGATGTAAAGGCGTGGCACAAAGTATATACATTCTTGATCAGAGTGACAAGGCGAGTCAATATAGCCATGTCCGTCCGTCCGTCCATATGAACGCAAGGATCTCGGAGAGCTGAATAATTTAAAGTTTAATTTTTTTGATTTTCCCCCCACTTCCCCCCTATGGAGGTTTTCCCGATTTTCCATTCGTATAATCGCCCATATCTCGGAGACTATAAAACCTAGGGACACCAAATTTTAGTCCAAGATGCCTTATGTGAATAAAAATAAAAATGTGTATTGGAATTTCCCTCCCTCCCCCCTTTCCCGCGCAAATCGTAACTCCCGTAATTCTTAGAATTTTTAAGTCAAACTCAGCAAGTACCCCCAGTTGGTGATTATGTGTCCATATGCTAAGTTTCACAATGATAGACCAATTTAACAAGAAGTTATAGCCATAAATATATTTGCTGCCCAAGCGCTGACCGCAGCTGTTGTTGATGCTGGTGATTTGGTTGGCTGCAAATATTCTCACACAGACACGAATAGACGCGCATAGACATTCATATACTCAGGTAGACGCAATTGCTTTGTATATGTGCAATTTACACCCTTTACGTGAGTTCGAATACCGCAAGTGGTAAAAACAATCAAAATATTTTTTAAATTTTCTTAATTTTTTGTAATTTCTATAATTACTCTAAGCATATGTATGAAGTATTTCAAAGTCGGTACACCGAACTTTAGCTTTTTTACTTGTTATAGCCTATACCCAAAGGGTGAAAGACTATACTAGTCTTGTGAGAATGTATGTAACAGGCAGAAGGAGGCGTGGCAGCCCCCCCCCCCCCCTCCTCCCACAAATTTGTGCATCCATTTGTGTTAAACGGTTGCGTCAGCTAACAACGCTACAAATGTATTCCTACGATTGACAAAAGCAGAAACACTCCTTTTACACTCACACCATTCATATTAAAACAAGATAGAACGCTACAGTCGAGCAAGCCCGACAGTAAAATAGCCTGTACTCTCCACAAAAAAGAAAAATTAAAAAAAAAAAAATTAAATTATTAAAAAAAATGAATGAATGAATTAATTAATTAAATTAAATTAGAATACATGTTTATGTTCAGTTTTAACAGCATACATTTACATCACGTACCTATGCGTGTTTATATGCGTGTATGTATGCAGCACAAAGTTGAACCAAAGCAGCAACAACAACAACAGCTGCGGGCAGCGCTGCCGACAGAGCTGCAGGCAGCGCATGAGCAGCGATTTTACTTATGGCTATAACTTTCTTCAGAATTGACCTATCATGATGAAATTTGGCACACGGACACATTAGTACCAACTGGATGTACCTACCAAAATTTCAAAATTCCGAGAATTACGGAAGTTATAAGAAAAAACATGAATTGCGGGGGAGTGGGGGGGTACATCGAAAAAAAACTCAAACTCGTACTTTCTCGGTCTTAGGAGAATATGGAAACCAAGTTTGGTTATTCTAGCTCTTATACTTTCTGAGATCCTTGCGTTCATATATATAGAGCCCCCTTTGGAGCTCGAGTTTTCCAAATGTTTTCTTAGTGGGCAACGCACAGCCCAAACGGTAAAGGCTAGGAAGCTGAAATTGGGACTGAAGTATCCTTTCATAGTCTAGGTGCCCACTAAGAAAACATTTGGAAAACTCGAGCTCCAAAGGGGGGAAACAGGCTCCAACGTTTGTATGAAAAATCTACAGTTTTCATCTGATTAGCTTAGTTTGTATACTCTCAGAACAATTCCAAGAAAAACTGTATACTTGGTTTTTTGATATTTTTTGGGGGCCTAAAATATGGGAGTTTTCCTGTAAAAAATGTTGGGGCACAAAAGCAAACCACGCCAACAGCCCACAGCCCACACGGTAAAAGCTAGGATGCTGAAATTTGGGCTCAAGTATACTATCATGATGTAGATGCGCGCTAAGAAGGAATTTCGAGCTCCAAAGGGGGGAAAAGTAGCTCCTAAGTTTGTTTGAAAAATCCGCATTTTTTAGCTGATCGACATAAAACTTGGTTTCTGAAATCAATAAAAAATACAAAGAAAACTGCATACTCGGTTTTTTAAATTTTTTGTTGGAGCTTGAATTATTTGGGTTTTCTTGGGGCACAAAAGGAAACCGTGTCAACAGCCCACAGCCCAAACGGTAAGAGCTAGAAAGCTGAAATTTGGGGTCAAGTATCCTATCATAGTGTAAATGTGCATTAAGAAGGGATTTTTGAAAATTCGAGCTCCAAAGGGGGGAAAAGTAGCTCCAAAGTTTGTTTGAAAAATCCGCATTTTTCAACCGATCGACTTAAAACTTAGTTTCTAAAATCAATTAAAGAATACAATTTTACAATACAAATTTGTGTTGGAGCTTGAATTATTGGGGTTTTAATATTTATTCACTATATCAAATGAAAAGTTTGTGTTATAAATTTAGTCCGATCGATTTAAAATTAGGGTAATGTAATCTACGTAACTAAATCTACAGCTTTGCATTCAAGGATTTTCAAAATATGCATTTTACAAAAGCAGGCAGAACAAACAATACGAAATATCAAACAGTTGGGGACAACTAAGCATACATACACACACACACATGCAAGCAGCTGTTCGTGTAGTTGCGTGCAAACGATTGAAATAGCCAAAGCAAAATGTGAGACACTAATGTGTGAATGTCCATACATATGTGCACATCTATGTATGTACATATGTATCTACATATGTATGTATGTGCATTCGTCTTGCACTGACAGAGCAAGAAATGTTAATTAATTGAAAATTATATAACATTTTTAAAAGTAATGTTTTCTTTTTTTAGTGCATTTGGCATTCGGGTTTTCATTAATAACTTTATGCAGCAACAACAAATATCAAATAGTTGGGGACATTACATACACACACTCATACACACAACAAGCAACAGTTCGTGTCTATGTGTGCGGTTCTCTACGTACGGTTGAAAAAGTAAAGAGAAACATACATACATATGTATGTATGTATGTATGCCTGTGTAAGAATATAGCATGTATGTACATTCGTAATAATGTATACATTTGGCAATCGAACACAGTTGTTTGATTAATTACTAATTAAATAATGCTCTAAAAACAACAACAACTGCAAGTCATTGGCTCGCTCTTCTTCTTTCGTTGTGACCATTTAATGTTAATTGCAAAGGCAAAACGCCTAAAGTTTACAGTTACCGTCGCTAGGCAACGACTGCGTTAGCGATAGTAAAGCAGAAACCGAATAACGGAGCTACGCATATTCTGCTTCGCATTGCGGGCAGATGTATGTACATATATGATTTGTTCTTATTGATCTCAATAAATAATTAGATTTTATTATTTAAATATTCTATTTATTGCATTCAAACTTCGATATTTTGATGGTATCGGTGGCTTCAACTATCGAAAGTTTTACTCTAGCAAATTGAGATGAGAATTGTCAGTGCTTTTTGATCGTGGCTCATCGCTGCACGGTATTGACACGAGTGCCGTGTTTCATATTCCGAGTTTGTGCGTGACCGTATTGACTCAATATGGCACGAAAAGACTCAAATGTGAATTTAAAATTAGGATATACCCTTATAATTATTCCCCTTTTTTGCACATAGTCTATCTTAAAACGTTGCGTTATCTCTATATATAAAACAGTTTATCCTGACTAATTGGTGATCAACGCACAGCCCAAACGGTAAAAGATGAAATTTGGACTCAAGTATCCTTTCATAGTATCCATCATAGTGTAGGAGCACACTACGAAAGGCTTTTGGAAAATTCTAGCTCCAAAGGGGGAAAACGAGCTTTAAAAAATATTAGTTATAGTGGTCATGTTCGTTTATATATATATATTGCTTGGCACCCATGCCGCCAGACTAGGGCTCTACCATAACGACTTCTGTAGAAGTTGCATAGACGCAGAAGAGGAGGAAACTGTAACCCATCTCTTCTGTGACTGCCCAGCCCTATTAAAGACAAGACAGCGCTTTCTAGGGTCTTCCTTCCTTCCAAATTAATTGGCACTATCCGTAAGGAAGCCGAGGGACATTTTCAAATTCATCCAGGCATCTGAATGGAGTTAACACATGCGAATTATATGCAGTTAACCACTGGAGAATGGGAAGTGGTAAAATCCACGCGGTATCACAATGGGCCAATTTCTAGGGCCTAAGTGAGCTAGGGTTACTAACCCCGACTGCCGCTTCTACCTAACCTAACCTAGTGTGTATCTGCATTTCTAGGTTAATATTATATTGCCTTTTCTTTATATTGCAGCACTCCTTAAAATTTTTATTCGCAACTCTATAGTTTGACCACTATGATGCGTTATCACTACATCGAGCGATCTGTCTCAGGGGAAAGACAGATTTCAGACATCCGCACATTCATTATCAAACCATGGTTTGTCGAAACTTATGTTGAGCGTTTTTGCAAACCTCCTGCTTCATTTTTGATTGCCTTTGCTATCGCATCTATTAGGTTTTCATGAGGACCTTGAAATCCTTTCAGATGCTCTTGAACAGCGCTGCAGCAGCAAATATATTTATGGCTATAACTTCTCGTTAAATCGGTCTATCATAGTGAAACTTGGCATACGGACACATAATAACCAACTGGGGGTATTTCCAACATACAGAAGGAAGCATCTCCGACCCCATAAAGTATATATATTCTTGATCAGCATGACGAGAGAAATCGATCTAGACATGTCCGTCCGTCTGTCCGTCTGGATGAACGCGAGGATCTCAGAAACTATAAAAGCTAGAATAACCAAAGTTGGCATCCAGATTCTCCTAGGTCCGAGTAAGGACGAGTTTATTTTTTTTTTCTCAATAGCGTCCACATTTCAAATGCTACCTAAACCAAACTTTGCACACATAATTAATATATAATTGTCTACTGTTGTTCAAAATTTTATTCAATTCGGTCAATTTTAAGAAAAGTTATTAGCGAAACAAATTCTCGCCAGTACAACCCCTCCAAACTGCAGCAACAAGTTCGCTCTTCTTCTTCCTCTTTTTGCTGCTGCTATGGGCGCATATAACTCAGTGACGGAAGTTTACCTGGGTACAGGGTATTACACTGTCGGGCTTGCTCGACTGTAGCGTTCTCTCTTGTTAGATATAGTTATGTTGATTACGGATACCAAATTTGAAATCGATCGGACAACATTAATAACACAAGCTTTTCATTTGAAAAAAAGTGAAGAAATATAAAAACTCCAATAATTCAAGCTCCAAAACCAATTTTAAAAAAACTCAGTATGTAGTTTTATATTTATTCTTTTATTGATCTTAGAAATCGTGTTTTAAGTCGATCGGTTGAAAAATGTGGATTTTTCAAACAAATTTTGGAGCTCGTTTTCCCCCCTTTGGAGCTCGAATTTTCCAAAATCCCTTCTTAATGCACATTTACACTATGATAGGATACTTGACCCCAAATTTCAGGTTCCTAGCTTTTACCGTTTGGGCTGTTGTGAGTGGTTTCCTTTTGTGCCCCATCATTTTTTTATACCCTGTACCCGTAGGGTAAAAAGGGTATATTAGGTTTGTGCAAAGTATGTAACATGCAGAAGGATTTATATTCTGAATCAGCATGACGAGAGAAATCGATCTAGACATGTCCGTCCGTCTGTCCGTCTGGATGAACGCAAGGATCTCAAAAACTATAAAAGCTAGAATAACCAAAGTTGGCATCCAAATTCTCCTAGGTCCGAGAAAGGACGAGTTTATTTTATTTTTTTTTAATTTTTCCCTCCCTTCCCCCGCTGCAGAATTTCGTCAATAGCGTCCACATTTCAAATGCTACCTAAACCAAACTTTGCACACATAATTTATATATAATTGTCTACTGTTGTTTTTATAGCCTGTACCCAAAGGGTGAAAGGCTATACTAGTTTTGTGCGCATGTATGTAATACACAGAAGGAGGCGTGGCAGACCCCACAAAGTATATATATTCTTGATCAGGATGAGAAGACGAGTCGATATAGCCATGTCCGTCTGTCTGTATGAGCGCAAGGATCTCAGTAAGTACAAGAGCTAGGATAACCAAAATTGGTATCAAGGTTCCTATAAGCCCTAGGCAGAACGAGTTTGTTTATTTTTTCTGATACACCCCCCCACTCCCCCGCAATTCGTATTTTTTCTTATAACTTCCGTAATTCTCGGAATTTTAAAATCAATTTTGGTAGGTAGGTAGGTAGGTTAGTACTAATGTGTCCGTGTGCCAAATTTCATCATGATAGGTCAATTCTGAAGAAAGTTATAGCCATAAGTAAAATCGCTGCTCATGCGCTGCCTGCAGCTCTGTCGGCAGCGCTGCCCGCAGCTGTTGTTGTTGTTGCTGCTTTTGTTCAACTTTGTGCTGCATACATACACGCATATAAACACGCATAGGTACGTGATGTAAATGTATGCTGTTTAAACTGAACATAAACATGTATTCTAATTTAATTTAATTAATTATTTTAATTAATTAATTCATTAATTTGTTTTAATAATTTAATTTATTTAAATTTTTTTTATTTTTTCATTTTTCCTTTTTGTGGAGAGTACAGGCTATTTTACTGTCGGGCTTGCTCGACTGTAGCGTTCTATCTTGTTTTATTTTTATTTTATTCAATTCGGTCAATTCTAAGAAAAGTTATTAGCAAAACAAATTCTCGCCAGTATGAAAGCATACTTGAGTCCAAAATTCAGAATTTTCATTCGGATTCTTCATACAAACGTTGGGATTCGAATTTTTCAAAATCCCTTCTTAGTGCTCACTTTCACTGTGATCTTGTGTCCAAATTTCAGCTTCCTAGCTCTTACCGTTTGGGCTGTGCGTTGATTGCCAATCAGTCAGTCAGGACAAACTGTTTTATATATATAGAGATATAGATATAGATATAGATATAGAGATAAGTATAAGTAGTAAATATTTTTAAGCAAACAAACTTAGCCCAGCAAAGAGGGGCTACATCTGTAAATCTCTAAATGTAACTACATACTACATATCATGATGAAACTTACGACGATGGCACATAAGCACTAACCACATACAAATGCCCAATTCTAAGAATAACGAGAAATATGGAAAATCGCTAATAGCGAAAAAATACATAAACGGGATCTTTGGTTACTTTAGCTCTATTGCTTTGATCATTTTACCACGCCTCCGTCTGTGTGTAACATATGTACATTGACACTAAACTAGTATACTCTCTTACCCTTTGTGTACAAGGTATACAAATTTTAGAACAGAAAAACTCAGCTTTTTGGAATTTATTGAATGTCAACTATTTTTGACAAATTTTCAGTTTTATTTAACCAATAGTGTTATAAAAATAATCAAAATTCCACAATTTGTTTTTAAAAATGAATGAACTTCTATTGTCGAAAATCTGTTTAAAGGTTTGAAAAAACTAAGAATGTGTTCTATCCATTTTAAGCAAATCACAATTGATCCGCAGCTTCTATTCTAACAATAACATTTATATTAATTGATAAATTTAATAAACTTTTGAAGTGAAGTAACAGTTAGCGCCTTAAAAGCATAGGTGCTCTACCCTGTTTAGAAAAATTTTAAAATTTTTGTAATGTAAGACGATTTTTATCAATGGGCGACAGGTTCAAGCTCATATTATTTTCCAAAGCCAACTGACGTAGCACACGAAATTCTTTTTCCGTAAACATATGTCTGGCTAAGCTAAGCGACTTTAGCGGTGCTTTTGAAAAATCTTTAAGGATTTTATCAAATTCATTTTTTATTTGCGGCTTAACACCGATATTGTCTAAAGCACAATTATTTTGTTTCTTCTCCGAAGAAAGAATTTCCTCTTTCGTGCGTAAAGCACGGGACCATATCTCACTGGAATCTCGTTGATATTTTAAAATTCGTTTGTCTACATTGATAATCTCAGCACTGATTTCCGTATTATTTGGCTGCTTAGCTTGTGCTTGTAAAAAGGCTTGGCGTCCACATTTGTATTCTCCCAATGCCACTAAAGCTCGTCCTTCTTGGAACAAAGCCTTACATGATGGCTGATCCATAGTTAAACGTCTTATAGCTTTCATCATAATACACACTCGCTGAGGCTTGTTAAGTTTATTGTAGCAAATCATTAAATTCGTATAAAGAGTAACAAGAAGCTCCGTCTGTTTACTTTCTTCATGGATGTCAGAGGTGCGACAATAATTTAATGCAGAGATGGCACGCTCAAATGCTGAGATGGCGTTATGAAATGCACCTCGCTTAACGCAATCTTTTCCATGCAGCTGTATCTCTTTAGCTTTTGGATATATTACAACAAATTTATCTTTATCCTCAGGCTGGATCTGCTCCAAAGCTTGTACATTGCCGACCAATGCAAAACTCAGCACTTCAATTTTAAACAGTCCGTCGGCACGTGGCCTAATACGGGGTGGGCATCCAAGTTCAAGAAATAGCAACTTATAAGATATTATAAACTCTGCTTGCTCGTAAGGATACATGGTGCGCACAGCAGCTTCAAGGCCTACTACAACCTCATCTTGCCCTGTTTCAAATTCATACTTAGTACCGCGAAGTAACGAAGAATCAAATGGTGCTCCTTCGCCTTCCCAGTAAGCGCTATACCGCAATGCTACACGCGCTTTGTTCGGAACAAGTCCAAGTTCTGTATTGCCCTCTCTTACGACTCGTTTGTAAATATGTTCACTAATGCATTGCATCAGCATACGAAGTTCGGAAAATGGGCGTATCCATGGAGAAACCAAGTCTTCATTCTTAATATCGCCAACAGTTTCATCATTGTCTGTATTATCACAACAGAAGTCATCATAAACCATGCTATTAACATCAGCACTATCGACCTCAAACTGTGCGCCCTCATCGATGAGATCTCTAATAAAGTTATTTACAGTTATTTATTTAGTCAGTTACTAAAATTTAAGATAATACTTACGCAAACGATATTGGGTTTTTGAGTAGTTGTGTATTGGTGGAATTGTTCTCCATTTTACAAAGAATTCGTTTCTAATACACGACAAACTTGGTTTGAATACAATTATTAAATTGCGCCATGCAACAATAATGAACTGCCACGAGCTTTTGTAATCGACGACCTCAGAAATGTTATAAGACTATCGATGGCACGATAGATACATCGAGTTTTGTTTTTGGTTTTTTTTGCGATTATCGTTGGTATTTTATCTTGTCATGTATTTTAGATTTATAAAATGTATTGAAATCGTTAAAATTGTGCATTATAAACAAATATGAAGAAAAAGCTTTTCACAATTATATTAATCTATACTTATTTATTTAAAAAAATTCACCAAACACAAAAAAAATTAACATTTAACCAATAATACTATCACTTCAAAGGCAAATTTGGCATTGATCGGTCGTCAATAAATAAAAGTAATCAGTTACCGATTTTTAAATTTAAAAACATTTAGTAAATCTCATTGTACAGTGCACTATGGTTTTTTTGCCCGTTTTTTTTTTTTGGCAGAAACTCAAAATATTAAGATATTTACCCCAAATTTAGTTTGTATGCATATTTGGTACCTCAAGACGACATACCAAGTTTGGTGCAGATTGGGCCACTATTTCATATAGCTGCCATATAACCGATATGGCCGACTTTCACTAACTTCAGTATTTTTAACTGAATCGAACCAGAAACTGGCCTATTATTTGCTCCCATGCAATATACTTTAGTTTGTTATGTCCACCTTTGCCAGTGCATCCCCTGTCGTTACGCCGGCTAGCCATCGGCTCAGGGTCAGATTCGACCGCTACAGGGGTGTGGCAGACCAACAAGGATTTTTTTTTTTTTCAAACACACCTACCAACACAATTGCCGGTGTATGGCCGCCTGAGAGCTTTAGTATTTTATGGCCGACTCCCTTCTATCACTAACCATACAACATATACATAGATGCGTCATTTCATACAATGAAAACGTCCCATCGAAATTGTTAGCGACAGCTCCCATAGCTGTTCGGGTATTTGCCGAATGGGAGCTGTCGCACTTCGGCTATGAGCCGACTGGGAGCTGTCGCATTCGTGCTCTCTGTGAGCGAATTTCATTTCATTCGCAGAGAGGCAGTCAACAGAGACGGTCGGTTCACGCCGCTTATGCTCTTTGTATGTGTGCGTGCACATAAATACATGTATGTATATGTTTACATGTATTTGCGCATTTGGTCTTTTGCTGTTTGCGAGCAGCAGCTTCAATTTCGTTTTCAGATTTTACCTGTTACATGGGCATCAGAATTTCATACACTGTTGCCATATTTCTGTCGCATTGTATTTTGGGATGCGTATGCAAGTGAAGTTTGTCAGTAGTGTATGGGTTTCTCATAATGCCTATAAAAGCACACATACATACAATTACATACATATGTATGTGTGCAAATGTTGTGTTCATATGCAGACACTTCATATATGAACGCGTGGCAGTAGCCTTGACATTGTCATGACCTGCCTCAACTTATATTTATGCACCATCAATTTTGTTGATAGACTATTTCTTATTTTTGTTTGACTTGCATATTAATTACAAAATATTTGGTAAAAATGTCAGTTGGCATTTAAATCAAATTAATTCAAAAATATTAGTTTAAAAATATATTATTTTATTTATGTTCTTGGTAAAAATATCGGTTGGCAAATTAGCCGATATTTAATATGAAAATAAGTACATTTAAGGGTCGCAAAATGTGGTAAAATTTGTAAAACAAGTGTAATTAAATAAATAAAAATATATAAACATATGTATATGAATTTTTATTTATTTAATTACACTTGTTTTACAAATTTTACCACATTTTGCGACCCTTAAATGTACTTATTTTCATATTAAATATCGGCTAATTTGCCAACCGATATTTTTACCAAGAACATAAATAAAATAATATATTTTTAAACTAATATTTTTGAATTAATTTGATTTAAATGCCAACTGACATTTTTACCAAATATTTTGTAATTAATATGCAAGTCAAACAAAAATAAGAAATAGTCTATCAACAAAATTGATGGTGCATAAATATAAGTTGAGGCAGGTCATGACAATGTCAAGGCTACTGCCACGCGTTCATATATGAAGTGTCTGCATATGAACACAACATTTGCACACATACATATGTATGTAATTGTATGTATGTGTGCTTTTATAGGCATTATGAGAAACCCATACACTACTGACAAACTTCACTTGCATACGCATCCCAAAATACAATGCGACAGAAATATGGCAACAGTGTATGAAATTCTGATGCCCATGTAACAGGTAAAATCTGAAAACGAAATTGAAGCTGCTGCTCGCAAACAGCAAAAGACCAAATGCGCAAATACATGTAAACATATACATACATGTATATATGTGCACGCACACATACAAAGAGCATAAGCGGCGTGAACCGACCGTCTCTGTTGACTGCCTCTCTGCGAATGAAATGAAATTCGCTCACAGAGAGCACGAATGCGACAGCTCCCAGTCGGCTCATAGCCGAAGTGCGACAGCTCCCATTCGGCAAATACCCGAACAGCTATGGGAGCTGTCGCTGTCAATCGCGCGAGTTGCCTTCCCCTTCGTCCGACTCCATTTGCGGTTTCCCAATACTGCCGCGTCGCACATAACAAGTTCACAAAATATAAATAATTTAATATGAGTTTATTTTATTTTTTTGATTTCCCCCCTCCCCCCTCTGCCAGACAGAACAGAATTTCGTTAATACTGACCACATTTCAAAAGCTACATAAACAAAACTTTGCACACGTAATTTATATAGAATTATCTATCTTTGTTTCAAATTTCAATCAAATCGGTAAATTTTTGGAAAAGCGAAAACATTTCACTCTAGTACTACGCCCTCAAGCACAGCATCAAGCTACCTCATCTTCTTCTTTTTGCTTCCACTATGGGCGTATATAACTCAGTGCTTGAAGTTTGTCTGAGTACAGGGTATTTCACTGTCGGGATTGCTCGACTGTAGCGTTTTCTATCACGGTTAGAAGCAAAACAATTTGTGTTTTTTTTTTTTTTTGAATGGCTTTAAAGTTTTGCATGTGTTTTTTAATATAATTGGAGGAGGATTTTACTTTTACCGATATTAACATAATATTGTATTCATCTAAGATGTTTACGTTAATTTTCGGTAATATATTCTGCCTAAATGCGTCTTCTGAGTCTTTGTTGCTGCTAAAAATGTCACCAATGTTTGCATGCAACAAACGCAATTTTACAGAAAACGTGCAAATCGCTTAAAAATAGTTTTGGATTATTATTTTACATACCTAGATGAACGTTTTCCGTTATATAACATAACTTTTGTGGTTTCTTTTCTTAATTCTGCAAGCTCTGAAATTTTACCAAAAATTGCTGCCAAAATCACAAATACATGTGTTTCACACAATAAGGTAACTTTGACTGCGCGCCAAGAAAATGGTGTTGCCATATCATCAGGAATTAATTTCATTTTCGCTTAATTAAACAATTTATAATAAAATAAAAATAAAATTTTTTTTGCACTTTCTGCCATAAACGGGGAAGAACCATAGTGCAGTGCTAAAAAAATACTGGTGAGTAAGCAATTTGGGCATTCCGGGATGTAATTTTTGTGTGGCATTGTGTGCACTAAATGTGTTTGTGTATTTTTCGTACTTATTTATTTTTATACTCTGTACCCAAAGGGTAAAAGAGTATACTAGTTTAGTGCGCATGTATGTAACACACAGAAGGAGGCGTGCCAGACCCCACAAAGTATATGTATTATTGATCAGGGTGAGAAGACGAGTCGATATAGCCATGTCCGTCTGTCTGTATGAGCGCAAGGATCTCAGAAGTTACAAGAGGTAGAATAACCAAACTTGGTATCGTATATATATTCTTGATCAGCATGACGAGAGAAATCGGTCTAGACATGTCCGTCCGTCTGTCTGCCTGGATGAATAGCGAAACAAATGCTTTCCAGTACAAACCCCCCAAACTGCAGCAACAAATTCGCTTTTCCTCTTTCTCGTTTTGCGTCTGCTATGGGCGCATATAACTCAGTGACGGAAGTTTGCCTGGGTACCGGGTATTTCACTGTCGGGCTTGCTCGACCGCAGCGTTCTGTCTTGTTTTTTTTTTTATTCAGATTTCATTTTTCATTTTTTCCTATTTGGTGGAGCTACGTGGTATTTAAGAGTTGCGCCTGGCCTTTAGCATTCCTTTCTTGTTTCTTAGTAATGTCGCATCAAATAATGAGCAATTCGACTGAGGAAGAGATTGCAGCAATAATGGATAAAATTCTAACCGATGACGAAGATACAGCAGATGGACAAGATTTCGATTCTGAATATTGAATATGGCTTAATTTCTGACATGCCTAAAGCTACTGCATTAACTCAACCGATGCTCTGATTAATGCAAACAATTTGAGTATCCTTTTACTGAACTGCACTTCGAGTATTATGGAGCTGCTGGTCCTACGGGCGACGTTCTTTTCGCCAATGTAAATGAGTTTGAAATAATTCCCCCATTTTCAAATCAATTACTTGGAAAAAGAATCATTCGCGTCTCCATGTGAATGAGCTTGTGTTCCAAGGCCAAAAGGAAATGCCATTTGAACTTAAACTATTCTCTATATGTAATTCGCCCGGATTCGCATAGGCTTTCGAAATTTATTCTGGCGCTGGAGACGTCATACTTGAGAACGGTCCTGATCTTGGCGCTGCATCCAATGTTGTTGTTCCAGACAACCTCAATCATATAATCTATTTTGATAATTTCTACATATCGCTTGACTTGCGTGCCTACCTTAGGAGCCACGGCATTTACAGTTTGGGGACTGTGCGAGTTAATCGTGTTCCAAACTGCAAATTGTCTTCTGATTCTGATCTTGCTGCAAAAAATGCTCTTCGTGGTTATTCCGAACAGTTTGTTGGTTTAGCTTTCGGTAAGGACATCTCTACCGTTCTATGGAGTGTTACAAAAGCAGTGCGTTTGGTATCTTCTTACGTTGGCACTCAACCATTTTTGTCTCGAAATATAGATAATCAATTGCAAAAAGTGACTAGGTTGGAAAAAATAAAGAAAATGAGATAGAATGCCCAA